GACACCCAACCCCACCTGTAATGACAGCACATCGCCTCAGGAGGTGAATACCTTAGACAGAGCTCCGCTTGCAGACTGCCAAGAAGAAATAAGGGCTGGTCAGGAGCTGCGATTTCATTGATTGTTTCAACTGTGAATTTTGAAGATGAATATCTCCATATTACCTGTAGCTACAGAGATCAGTGACGGTTGGCTTTAAAGATTTTTAACCGCTTGTTAAGAATATAGAACAATTTTATTTTCCATAATCAGAGAGGTGCACTTTAAGGCTGCGTTCACACTGTTTTGCTTGCATGTAGCACACATGGTACTGCACATGCTTAGGTGTGAACAGGCTCTATTAGTTTACCTTTCCAATTCATTCTAGATGGCATTGCATGGATGCGACTCAGCCACATATGCAGTCATGGGATTTCAACTTGCAATGCATCTTCCTGCAGCAAAATGCATGTGACAGATGCACAAAGACAGACAAGAAGTGTGAATAGGCCCTTGTGCCATTACAGAGCAATCATTTGCAGGGTTTTTACAGCATATGGAACGCACTATAGAGATTTCCAACTGCTTACAAAATGCAGGGAGCGCTCTCTTCTCTGTAAGATGCCGACAGAAAATGTGTGCTAAAGGCCATGCAGCGTGCATGAGAACAGATCTAAAATACAGCAGCACTCACTGCGTTAAAATATACATACTGTAGAAGCTCATATTCTAGACACGGGTATTTTTAAGCTAAGGAATGCCACCAAGTCCTAAAACTGATATTGTCCTTGAAAGAGGGATGGGGGCGACGGTGCGGCGGTGTACATCCTCCACATCCTGATTAGAGAATACTTTCCATAATGTCAATAGCTGTAGATTGCACAGAGCTCCACCCGGAGACAGGAAACACATAATGGTGCAGACAGGCGGAATTCATTTTTTAATTGATCAATGACTGACGATTCCACAGATACCTCCTAATGTACACGTGTCAGATCATGGGGGAGCAGACTGAGACATTTGTTGCATTTTAAGCCCCCCCCCCTCCATGTTGATGAAGAGCTCCTTCCACACAGTCTGCGCCAGTTAGTTGCGCTCCTTCCCTTTCCTTTTTTCTGATCTGAACGTTTAACTGTTGGTGCAAATAAAATATCAGGGACAGTGCTCACCTGTGCTGTTACTAACGACACAACAATAATTGGACAGCACTAGGGCAGAGAACACGTCTCCACTTCTCTAGAGTAGAACAGTGGGAGGCGTGCTTAATAGAAAGTATGAATAAACCAAGCCACTGGGTTGGGGGTTGCGGGTGCCACACTCAGTTGAGCAGTGAGCGGAGTCACCAGCAAGGGTAACATTATGGAGTGGTAGGTAGTGAAAGAGTGAAGAGGGGCGGGGCTGGTAGTGGTAAGGGGTGGAGCCCTGCTGTACTGGCAGAGTCGAAAGCTGTGGGCGGGACTGTAGGGCACTAAGCGGAAGAGGGGCGGAGCTGGTAGTAGTGACGGGGGTGGAGCTCTAGTGACAGCCCGGTGAGTTGTGGGCGGAGTCGGAGGCCGGTGATCTGTCATGGCTGCGCGCAGTGTGTTCGTCCCCGGGTTATTCCGCGACAAGGTGGCCATCGTGACCGGAGGGGGCACCGGCATCGGGAAAGCCATAGCGGCGGAGCTGCTGCAACTGGGTACGTGTGGTGCAGTACAGATTGCCATGAGGGGGGCATGCTGTACTGTCCAGGACACAAGGTAGTACGGGTCATGTGACTTAAAATTAAGTTGAGAGTGCATGAGCAGGTACAGGTCATGTGATCCTGGAAATGGAAGGCTGGGAGATGAGTTGCCACAGGTCATGCTGGGAATTGTTCTGCAGGACATAAGCGGTTACAGGTCATGTGACTCTGGTTGTAGATGACAGGTCATGCTTGGACCTGTAGTTCTGCAGGATGTGAGCAGGTACAGATCATGTGACTCAGGGTGTGGGTGACAGGTCATGCTGGGACTTGTAGTTCTGCAGTATGTGACCAAGTACAGGTCACGTGACAGTGCATGCTGGAACTTGTAGTTCTGCAGGAAGTGAGCAGGTACAGGTCATGTGGCTCAGGATGTGGCTGACAGTGCATGCTGGGACTTGTAGTTCTGCAGGACATGAGCAGTTACAAGCCATGTGACTCATGATGCGGTTGGCATGTAGTTCCACAATTGGTATCTCCGGGTGCTTGGCTCAGGTTGTAGGGGGATGGGTGACTTCCATAGCACAGTGTGTGGCCCCTTCACTGACCTTTGATCAGATGTTCTCAGCGATGTGACATTGTATCGGATCTTCCTTCATCGTTATCTGATTTACACAGGTTCAGAAACCCCAACCGCAGATTGTGCGCATGCTGCTGATCCTGCGCCTGAGATTTGATGCATGTACGTGTTTTCAGCGTATGAATTCTGGCCATTTCCCTCCCACAGGCTGCAGCGTGGTAATCGCCTCTCGGAAACTCGATCGCTTGAAAGAAGCCGCCAGGGATCTGCTGTCCAAAATCTCCTCGGCCAACCCGTCCGCGCTGACCACCCTGCAATGTAACATCCGCAGAGAGGAAGAGGTGCGCCAATGTTCGGCAACGCGTTTCACCGCTGCTCTTAGGGATGTGTCTTCATAAACACATAAAGGACAGTCTTATATGATTGATACACAGTTACTGTACATCGGCTTCATTGTCATTGCTGCTGCCGCAACAGCCGCTGTTATCAGTGTGCTTCTGACAGCTGCTGCCCCCATTTCCTGTTTGGGTGTCACAGAGACAGGAAGTGAGGGAAATTAAAAAAAAGAATTCAAAATAAGCCCGCATTCTCACCTGCTGCTTTTGCCATGCGTCCCCGTTGAGTTCAATGGTGCCATTAGAAATGAATGGCAATACAAGCGTGTTGCAGACTTTGGCGCACTTTCACGCCACGCACAGGTGTGAATGCGGGCTAAGACTTCCTTCACACTTGGCATTGTGGGCGTGCGCGTCACAATGGGCTGCCGTACTCTCGACAAGCCAAGTAGCTCATGCAGCATTTTTGCCTGCGCCCCCACATGTTTGATGCGCGTCCATGTGTGGGCGGGAACGTGCATTTTACCAGCCACCTTTGGGGTGCCATTAACGAGTGATGGCACCACAAGCCTATTGCACGTTTTTAATGCGTTGGGTGAAAGCACGCCAAAGCGTGCATGTTCATGCAATGCAAATGTGTGAACAGGGACTCTCTTGCGCCCTGTAAATGCACACAAGACGTGGGCTTTGGCGCATGTTCACAGAACGCATCAGAAATGTGCAGCTCGCTTGTCGTCCCATCACTTGTTAATGGCACCCCAAACACAACAAAAACGCGGTACACCTGTAGCTGAATCTGCTGCAAGAGCTACTTTCCTGCGTTTGTTGCGCGCATGCCACCCATTGAAATCAATGCGGGATGCGCGGCAAACACGGGGGGAAAAATGCATGCGCTCCTGGAGTACGAATGTGTGAACCAGGACTAAGACCTCATTCACGCGGGTGGTATTTAACGATGAATTGCAGGAGGTGTTGACCCCCCTCCCCAAGGGGGTGGAATTTACTTCAGGTTCCCTTGACTTCAACGCAGTTACCTCCCTCCCCTCCCCCCGCACTGAAGGAACATTGCCATGCATGGTAGCGCTCTACCATGTGTTGCGGCGTGGTTTAAAATCACAAAAGTAGAACCAATAAAATCCTTTTCTTCAGACGTTGGGTTGGCGCCCCCTGTGGCTTGTTGGGGTGCACGGCATCCCGCCATAGATGTGTGAAGGGGTCTCAGTGTTTACATAAAGTTTTGCATGTAAGTTGTTGTGTTTTGCATTGTAACAATGTCATCCCGCGCCCCCCCCTTTCCTTGTTCTGAGTGCAGGTGGAGTCTCTGGTTAAAGCAACTCTGGACCAATATGGCCGGATCGACTTCTTGGTGAACAATGGCGGTGGGCAGTTCCCGTCTCCCAGTGAAGCGATCACCTCCAAAGGATGGAATGCGGTAGTAGAAACCAACCTCACCGGGACCTTCTACTGCTGCAAGGCCGGTACGTAGTGAGCACTGTAGCAGAGAGACTGTAGGCGAGCCTGGGAGGGGGGAGGGGGCTTCCCGGTGCTTGGAAACTCCAATTACAACATTGCCCCCCTGGTGTCCCACAGGAGCGCTGCCTTCTGTCCAAAGATGACCATTGATTGGGGGCAGTACCGCTGGCACCATGGGGCGGAGCACATGTGCATTTTACCCTTTCTGGGGGCGGTTTAGAACTTCCTGCCCGCTGTAGTCTTCCTGGGGTAATGCATAGTGCGGGGGGAGTTGTCTGCTGTCTAATGAGAGTATAGAACAATGCTGTGTGTCTGTCTCTAGATTCTGATTGGCTGTAATTGCTGTCAGTCAGAAGCTGGGGGTGGCATAGGGGAATAATGTTTGTCTGCTCACTCCAAGAAATCTGTCATAAAAGCTAAAACCAAAGATGTGCTAGCACCAGTGGCGTCACCAGGGGGGCCCGCACCCGGGTTCCACCGTTGGAGGGGTGACACCAAAATGACTGACAGTCATTTTGGTGTCACCCCCTATGAAAAGTCGGGCACTCGGTCACGGACCGAGAGCCCCGACAGTGTCAGGAGAGAGGAGGGGACCTGTCGGCATACCTCATCCCCCCCGGGTGGGCGTCCCCTCCTCTGTCTGCCGGCGCCCATCACCAAGATGGCCAATAAGACGACAGCGCATGCGCGATGACGCCATCGCGCGTGGCAACGGCATGCGCGATGATGTCATGGTGGGGTGTCACCCGGTCTCTGCTCCAGGTGTCACCCAGCCTCAGGACGCCCCTGGCTAGCTCCCTCCCAACACCCTAACTAATCTATGGCACCCATAGCTGCTCCATTCACATAGGCTGCCCCAAAATATTGTTAATGGTGTTGTCGAAAATAACATACTCTATGCATCAGTACTGGGACCTAGTGAATGGGCACTCACTCCCCAAGTGCTGCATTGTGGAGTACACAAGGGCCTGTAAAGTGTTTTCCTCATACCTGGGAGAGCGTTGTCACCCTGTAACAGGAAGTGCCTCAACCAGGACCCTCATGGCAGGATCACCAGGGATTATTTTAATGAAAGCTGCAGAAATAAACACATTGAAAATGACTTTTGAAGTGACAAATGTGATTTTGGTTTTCCGTCCACTTTACCTATTGCCGCCGTTTCCCCCCTGCGCAGTGTACAACGCCTGGATGAGGGATCACGGTGGGGCCATTGTGAATATTGTGGCAGACATGTGGAAGGGTTTTCCCGGAATGTCGTAAGTGTAATCTCTCCAGAATCTTCTCTGAATATCGTATATCATCCAGTAATCGATAATTCTCCCCGATGCCGTACTGTGTGTGCGGTCACATGGATTCTAAAGCCCAGCTGAATTGTTAGTGTCAGTTAGATGCATCATTTCCAGGCGCATCGAGAAAAAGGGGGTCAGTGTCCTGCAGTTAGAAAGCAGCCACCGCCTGAGTAGAAAAGCCCGTCCCCTGCCAGCATGCTGCAGAGAAGGACCCTTGCTCTCTGTATGGAAGCGGTGGTCTCTCTGAAGAGATTTAGCATGCCCCCTGCTGAGTAGAAAAACCTGTCTGCTGCCAACATGCCGCAGGGAAGGACCCTTGCTCTCTGCTTTGTGTGGAAGCAGTGGTCTCTCTGCAAAGGTTTATCACTCCTTTCTGAGTAGTAAAGCCCGTCCCCTGCCAGCATGCTGTAGAGAAGAACTCTTGCTCTCTGCTCTTTGTAGAAGCAGTGGTCTCTCGGCAAAGGTTCATCACCCTCCTTTCTGAGTAGTAAAGCCCGTCCCCTGCCAGCATGCTGTAGAGAAGAACTCTTGCTCTCTGCTCTTTGTAGAAGCAGTGGTCTCTCTGCAAAGGTTCATCACCCTCCTTTCTGAGTAGTAAAGCCCATCCCCTGCCAGCATGCTGTAGAGAAGGACTCTTGCTCTCTTTGTGAAAACAGTGGTCTCCCTGCAGAGGTTCATCACATCTCCTTTCTGAGTAGGAAATCCTGTTACCCGCCAACATGCTGTAGAGAAGGACACTTGTTTTGAGTGTGGAAGCAGTGGTCTCTCTGCAGAGCTTGATCACACCTCCTGCTGAGTAGTAAAGTCTGTCTCCTGCCAGCATGCTATAGACAAGGACACTTGCTCTCTATCTGAAAACAGTGGTCTCTCTGCAGAGGTTTATCACACCCCATGCTGAGTAGAAAAGCCTGCCCACTGCCAGCACGCTGTAGAGATGGGCACTTGCTCTGAGTGCGGAAGCAGAGGTCCCTCTGTAGAGGTTCATCACACATCCTGCTGAGTAGAGAAGCCTGTGTCCCCTGCCAGCATGCTGTAGAGAAGGATCCTTGCTCTCTGTGTGGAAGCAGTGGTCTCATTGCAGAGCTCCAATACACCTCCTTCTGAGTCAGGGTTAATGCTCTTCATGCAGCTAAGCTCATGTTCCCTTCTGATTGGAGAGTTGTGGTTCTGAGCAGGTGGTGTGGCAGACCTTTGCAGAGAGGCCGCTGCTTCCACACACATGCCTTCGTGGATGGAGGTTACATATTCCTGGAGTCTGCACTCTGTACTGTTCTTTGGAATGCCGTTTCATGTACAGTCCAGTCTTACAATGAGCTCCGCTTCTCATGATGTTCTCTTCTGTAGGCACACCGGAGCTGCCAGAGCCGCCGTGGACAATCTCACCAAAAGCCTGGCCATAGAATGGGCTCACAGCGGCGTCCGGATAAACTCGGTGGCTCCTGTAGGTAACCAGCGCCGTCATTCCTCGCTGTGTCACTTCTCATTATCTGCAGCAACGTTGGTCTTCAATGTTCGGTGCACGAGGGGTTTAAGCTGGCCATGCGTCGGGCCGAACATTGTGGGCTGAACAGTGACTGCTAACAAGCCCCTATGTGATAGCACATGGAGGTGACCGGTTCTCTTTATGGAGACCTCGGGTCTATTAGACCTTTTACATCTCCCCTGCCCTCCAATACAGCCAATCGATGGGAATGTGTAACCGCCACATCAGTTTTGGATAGAGGGTGGGAGAGTTATAACCCCTATCAGACCTTTTTTTTGCCATATGCATCCCATTGGGGAGGTTTACCTTCACTTCCTGTCCGATAGTCACAACAGGAAGTGAGAGAAAATCCCTCCAAAGAGAGGGGAACCAGACATAGTGTCCCCATTGGAAAATATATCCCTTACAAGACTGTTATATAAGGTCATCTGCATGCGGTATACATACAGTGGGTGGGGTCAGGGGGGCTGAACTCTGTAACCTTTGTGATGGCATTGTATAATGTTAGCAGTATATTTCCTTTCCAGGTCCCAATGTAACTCATTCATGAGAATGGAGCGAATCAGGAAAATACCGCATAATGGCCACTACATGGAGCAGAGGATAATTGGAAATTAATATTCACTTTCTATGCTCATCGGCTCCATCTAGTGGCCACAATGCGGTATTTTCCTGATTCCCTCCAATCTCATGAATGAGTTACACGGGACCTGGAAAGGAAATATACTAATAACTGGGGATGGACCGATACCGGAAGGCCCTTTAAGGATGCCTGGTGGCATGTAATGACTTGCCGCCCGGCTTCTTGATTAGCCGATGAGCCGGCTCCATGCACCAAGTGACGAGGGAGCATGGGGCCCTCTTCCAGGCCAATCAGGAACCCGGGGGCGTGTAGTGACTAGGGAGCATGGAGCCGACTTCCCGGCCAATAAGGGAGCCAGGTGGCGCATAATGACCAGGGAGCATGTAACCGACTTCCTGGCCAATCAGGAAACCGGGAGGAGGGGGGTGTTGTTGTAATGACCAGCGAGGATATAGCCAACTTCCTGGCCAATCAGGAAGCCGGGGGGCGTGTAATGAGCATGGAGCCGACTTCCCGGCCAATCAGGAAGCCGGGGGGCGTGTAATGACCATGGAGCCCACTTCCCAGCCAATCAGGAAGCGGGGGGGGGAGGGGGTGTAATGACCAGGGAGCATGGAGCCAACTTCCGGGCCACTTAGGAAGCCCGAGGGCGTGACTTGCCACCCCGATTTCCTGATAGCGGTTTCGGGATAAGTATCAGGAGCATTTGGGCGAGTACTCGACCAACTACTTGCTATCGGAACTGATAGTAGCATCAGTTCATCCCTAGTAATAACATTTGTTTTTGCCTCCCTTCGCACAGAATGAACGTACAATGTTGCAATTTCGCAGGACGAATAGCTCTGCAAATCTTTTTGATGACTCCGCCCCCTTGTGTTGGGATGGAGACATACATGCTTCTTGCTCACCAATGACGTTTTACATTATTGTGTTTTTACAGGGAACAATCTTCTCACCGACCGCTGCGCAGAATTATGAGTCAGGGGTGGCTATGTTTAAGAACTACATCCCCAATATTCCGGCCAAGAGACTGGGACTTCCCGAAGAGGTATTCCTCCACAACAACAGGCGACTCTTAAAATGTTGCCGGAGCTTTATCAGTGTTTGGTGTCGTCTTAGGGGTCTATTTATGAACAATTCGCAGAGCCATTCGCCCCGCGAAGTTCTGTGAGTGTTTCATGTATGCCAGGGGAGGGCAACTCCAGGCCTCCATCTGTGCCCAACATGCCTCTGGAAGTGATTCCTAAATCTGCCAGTCTTGCAATGCCTCATGGGACTTGTTGTTCAACAACATCTGGAGGGCCAGAGTTGCCCATCACTGTCCTATGCGAATAGAGTAAAAAATGAACATTCTTGGGATATTTTATTCTCGGGTCGAATGTAATGTAATGCTACATTATGGTCACTAGATGGCGCTGAGGAGCATAGAAGATGTACATTGTTTTGGTATGCTCCTCTGCCCCATCTAGTGGCCATAATATGGTATTACGTTACATTACATTAGATCTGAAAAGTAAATATACCAAGAACGTTTGTTGTTGCATCTATACGCAAAGAACGAACATTCAAAGAGATTTGCAAATTGTTTCTAAATAGACCCCTTGGTGTTAAAGTGTGTGTGTTTGTGTGTGTCCCTCTTGTCCTGCAGACCGTTGTCACTGCTACTGAAAGTGATGGGAAATCCAACATACTTAAATTGTTGCAGGAACAAGAAGTGAGGGCAAATCAACTCTTGCTATATCCTCTCTTACTTCCTGCTGTGTCTCTGGAGCTGGCAGTCATTGTTATGGGAAGTAGGGATTTAGAAGAACCTGATCTCTGGAAGCTGAACCAAAAAGGCAGAGGGCCAAGTACTGGCACCAGCATTGCCTGCGGCCTCCATCTTTCTCCCATTACTGACTTGCCATGCTTTTGTTGTGCACTGTCACTGTGTGGAGACGGCCATCTTGGTACAGGCAGGGCTTTGCTTCCTCTTGTCAGAGCCCCCAGCAAGGAGAACAGTGATGGTGATGGACGCCGGCAGAGAGAGGAGGGGACGTTCGCCCTGCGGGATAAGGTATGCCGCTGGGTCCCCTCGTCTCTCCTGCAACTGTCGGGTTCTCGGTCCATGACCAAGTGCCCGACTTTTCAGAGGAGGTGACACCAGAATGACTAATTTTAGTGTCACCCCTCCAATGGTGTAACCTGGGTGCGGGCCACACCCCCTTTGTGACGCCACTGGACTTGACCCTTATTAGTGCCTGTGCCGATGGGCTTTGGGCAGCTTCTGTCGATGGCTTCAGAACTGAGATCATGCAGGTGGATCCATTGACGGGTGCGGTTGACCTCCTTCTGAGCATTTGACCGGCTTCAATCTGCATAGAGAAAAGCTGTTTTGATGTAAACAAACCCATCAGCACCAACCCTTCCAGCACCAATCGGCACCAACCCTTCCAACGGCTTCTGTGTAAACACATTGCTCATCAGCCTTCGAGGATAACTCAGACGTTTTCTGGATGTGGTCGCCCACTACGTATTATAATATGAATTTCATTTGTGCCGGAAGTTCTGATGTTATTATGTAACTATATTGTTTTATTAAGATGAGTCTGTAGGTCTGTATATAACGCATTGCACTACTGCTCAGAAACATTCCATAGCCGGTGACACCAATCTTACACTTTGATTGACAGATCTCCCCAATGGTCTGCTTCCTCCTCTCCCCTGCGGCTTCCTTTATCACCGGAGAGACTGTGAAGGTGGACGCCGCGCAGAGCATATACCATTCACACTGGACAGTGCCAGGTATGAGAACCCTCCTGTACCATCATTAACATATTCTGCAGCTCATTACAGACAACCAAATGTCACATTTCACCAATCTGATCTGGTAATCGGTTACATTTTATTTAGATCAGGGGAAGTGAATTAAAATTCAAGGAGGTCTGGTGAGTGCATCAGGGGTCTATTAGACCTCTGATGTCTAACCTGCCCTCCAATACAGACGATCAAGCACAGGACTGTGCTTCATCTTCTTCATACCCGGCACTTCAGCCGGCTTCTGACAGCAGTGAAGCAGGAAGTGCAGAGAGCACAGTGCTCCCTGCTTCATTCATCACAGAGGAGATTGGGGAATGGATCTTCCTCAGTCTGCTGCCGCTCTCCATCCTGACACCCCCTGCTGTGGTCCCAGGCCCTCCAGAGGAGCGGGGAACCCAAAAAACCACAGTCGGCGGATGTGGGGACAGGGTGGCATGATTGCAGGCTACTACAAGTGATCTGGGTTGCTGTAGAGCGGCGCAGATCACCTATAGTTTACAAGCTGACCCTGCCTGACATCATTGGTTGCTAGGACGCCAGTGGTTCTAGCAACCAATGACTGAAATGAGGTGGGCCTGCCCTGCGTTATGGCTGGCAGTGGATGCACCGGAGTCAAGTGTCAGACAACCATAACCCAGTGCAGCTTAATCCTCATGTCCCATCGCAATCCTGACCGGAAGATGCCCAATGCAGTAGCGACAACGGTTGCCTCCGCAAAGTATGAATAAATGGAAGTAGTCACTCGCACTCCAAAAGTAATAAAGTCAATAATGTTTATTGACTGTAATGATACACATCTCCTCATGCTGCGAGTGACTACTTCCATTCATTCATAAGGCCCCATTCACACCTGACCGTTTTGTAGCGCGTCCTACGCTCGATGAACGCTCTACAAAACGGTCAAAAAAATAAATAGCATTGTAGTCAATGGTATCGTTCCCACCTGTCCGTATTTCCGCCCGTCCCGAACGCACTACAAAACGGCCCACGCATGAAAAGGTCCCGGAGCGTTTTTTGCTGCGTATTGGTCCGTTTTGGTCCGCGACAGACGCGCATATTACAATACGCATAGGTGTGAATGGGGCCTAACCCAGTACAGGTTGGCGATCACAGTCCAGCTAGAACCTGCCATCCATTTAGTGACACCCCCCGGCTCAGCGCGATCCAAACAGCCCAAATTGCTCCTCGACCCTTTTTTTGCCGCGCTGATCAATGCGATTTCCATACAGCTGTTATAGGAACCGCGCTGATCAGTGCGGTTTTGGGCGTTTTTACTTGCGTAAAAAAAACTTCCTTATGAAATCGGCGTAGAAACTGCGCTGATCCGCAACCGCCCTGGTGTGAATAGGGCCTTAAGTTTTGATACCCTGATTTCTTTGTGACTGGAACACTTTATAGACCTTATTTCATTGTTTGCATTTTGTTTTTAGCTAAAAGAATAAAATCCATTATCGGAATGTTTTAAACCAATGTAGAAGTTCGGTTTGGTCCCGCGGTTCGCATTCAGAGACTTTAGGGGCAATCCACAGAGGCAGCACACCACAATACAGATGTTTGTTTTCCAAAAAAATGACTTATTTTCTGCCGAGACCAATAAGATTTCAAAATTAAGAGTCACATGACATAAATGAAGATACTTCTTGTGTTTAAAGCTTTGTGATTTGACACTTTTTATCTCCTGATTAATGTGATTCCCTGGATGAGAAGGTGAAGTTTGGGGACGTTAACTTATATTAATGTGCAACAATCCGCTAACACAACCGCACACTCCATAGAATTTAAGTGACGCTAAACTCAGGAGTTAAAGGTGATCTATGAGGTGAGTGATTTCCACATATCCTCATATTCAGAGCTGACATGTGACAAAGAAGCTGTCACAGGTCGGCTCTATTGATCGGGAAGTGAGCAGAAACATGCCGCCGATCCGCTCACTTCCCCGATTTGTCTCCCGACTGTCAGTCACCGCTCCCCGCAGGGATTCCCCCCTCTCCGATCCTCCAGCGCTGACTGCATGAACAGACAGAAGAAGGGGGCAGGCACAGCTGGTTCTGCCTCTAGATAGGCAGATCCCGCTGTCACTCACACAGCTGGGTGGATCTCAACAGTATTGTCAGGATCTGTCCCGGCTGCGGCGGTCTCGGTATAACGGGGGCAAAAGCTCGCTATATACTGAGCTTTGGGTCTCAGGAGGAGGTTAGTATATGTCCTCCCGTGACCCTAAAGAGAACTATGGGGAACACTTACCCCATAGTTCTCTTTTAAGATACTTGAATGCATTTTTAAGAACAACAATGAGGGGAATTTATCAAAACTGGAGCCGACATAATCTGGAGCAGCTGTGAATAGCAACCAATCAGCTTCTCTCTTTCCTTTTCAAATCTTACCTGAGCAAACTGAAGAGAGATGCTGATTGGTTGCCGTGGGTAACTGCTCCAGATTTTGTAAGCTGCAGTTTTGATAAATTCCCCCCTAATGTCTCTTATTTGTGTATCACTCGGCTGTAGATCCTCCAATCATCTCTGAATTGGTGCTGACACTGTCCTTCCTTCTGGAGGGGAGGGGCTACTTTTGGTCCCCATGGTGGCCTGTGTGTGTTGTAAAGTAGTCACCGCTCCAAGCTCACTCCCGGGAAGGACTACAATCTCATGTTTAGTTTGCTCATTTGTATTGAGTCCATCCCGGGAGCGAGCTTGGAGTCATCAGGAGACATATGTATAACTTTACATTAAAATCCATGAAATTGAACTCCACAACTAAACATAAATGGTAAACGGCTCGGCTGTGTTGTGGATATTTGTCAGGTGATTAATAATGACTCCTCCCCCTTCCTATCCTCAGATCACAATCGATGGCCGGAGGCACCAGAAGGAGAGAACGCCGAAACTTTGAAGAAACTGTTTTCCAATGTTTCTCCTTCCAAGCTGTGATGCCTGCACACGCCAATGTCTGGCTTAATTGTCAGGCGGGGAGAATGTACGATTAGTATCTAATTTAACTTGTTAATTGCACTTAGACTGAAAGGGTGATTGGGAAATACTCCTGCACAGGGTATAATCATCCTTCATGTACCTGCTGCTGCATTCATTTAACGTATACACATACATTTAAAGCAGGAGTGCTACATGTGCCGACAAGGGTCATGCTGATAGGAGGAGAGAGAAAAGTGACAAATGAGCTCATCAGTCTTCTGCTTCTCCCTTTGAGCATCCTGACACAGTCTGGGGGAGGGGCATGGTGTACGCATTACTTAGCAGCAGGAGATCAAATGAAAGTTCAGCTTAAGCCCTCGTTCACACCTGAACGTTTTGTAGCGCGTTCTACGCTCGACGAACGCTCTACAAAACGCTCAAAAATATAAATCCCATTGTATTCAATGGTCTCGTTCCCACCTTGGCGTATTTCCGCCCGTCCCTAACGCGCTACAAAACAGCCCACGCCTGAAAAGGTACATGTACTACTTTGGGCCGTTTTGTTTGCGCGTTTCCATTGGGATACAGCCAAGTAGCCTTCGGAAACGCGCGACAGACGCGCATATGCAATACGCCTAGGTGTGAACGAGACCTTAAAATGTAAGTTTAGGCCAAACTTTATTTTTAGCCTGGAATAGAGACATTAAACAGCAATAAAAAGCTGACGGGGGTTCTAGCCTATCCCTACTCGACTAAGGGGTGGAAACTAATTTTCTTTCACTTCCTGTCTGGTGAGACTGTTATTACCGACACAGGAAGTGAGAGGAAATCTCTCTAACGGGGGCTCTAATCTTTCCTCGCCACATCCAAAATGAAAACAGTTTTTGCAGGATATGGCATTTAAAGCTGAGCTCCGGGCAGGCAGATGACATGCATATAAGGGAGTTGGTTTGCCTGTCAAAGAATTTTGTATTTTTGTTTATCCAGTCCTGGGATTTACACAGCACAACCCTGTCTGGCAGTGTGGGAGACCTTCTCTTTTGCAGCAGTTTCACTTTTCCTTACAGGTCTCCTCCCAACCCCTCACCCTGTGACTGGACAGTGAAAGTGCAAGCAGCAGACTAATCAGTTCATCTCTCTGTCGCTCTGTTGTTTCCTTCTGTCAGCATGCTCCTAGCTCTGCAACACACCTGGTTGACTCTTTGGGCTGCTTCTTCCTATACCAGTCTGAGCTCTGCTGTACAGGGGACTGCAGGAGGCTGATAATTCGACTGCAGGTGCTTACACTGCGTGCATTGACCTAGAATACAATTGAAGGATGTGTTGATGATTGCAGAGCTGCTTTATTCTGTTCCTTTTATATCTGACTGGAGGTCGGCTTTATAAGGGAACTGCCAGGGGAGGCCAAAGTGGAACTGGCTCGGGGGACGCAGTTGAGTGGATCAGTTTGGGGAGCTGACATAACAAAGAATGTAAAATGTGATGTGTTCTGATTGGTTGTTGGATAGCTGATATTTATTTTGTTTTTAAACACATTGAGGGGAATTTATCAAAGCTGGGGCAAACAGAATCTGGAGCTGTTGCCCATGGCAACCAATCAGCATCTTACTCAGTTTGCCCAGGTAAGATTTGAAAATGAAAGAGGGAAGCTGATTGGCTGCAGTGCAAATCTGCTCTAGATTGTGTCTGCTCCAGTCTTGATAAATTCCACCCCATTATATACATAAAACACGTGATACGTCCACATCACACCGCGTCTACGACTCCGTCCGTTCTCTGCGAACACGTTTTATAATTCACTCCTTTTCTACATATGAAACGGTCACATCAAAAGCTGAAATCATTGCGCCAGAAATGTAACAATAAAACTCAATTTTTTAAATATAATTTGTGAATTTATTCCTTCATATTGTGTGCGATCCGGAAGAATCCGTGTTATCGATGATCTGTTAACCACTTGCTGTCCGGGGCATTTTCTTACTATTTGCACACACATGATGATAAAATATACATTTTTGGCTAGAAAACAGCTTCAGACCGCCAAACAATTATATATGTTCTGAAAGCAGAGGCCCTGTAGAATAAAGAGATGCTAGTTGCAGTTTTGTATGTTGCACGGTATTTGCGCAAATGTTTATCAAACCAGTATTTTTAGGAAAAAATTAACGAAATTGAAATTTAGTGCACAGAAACAGAATATAATACCCAATTTTTTGGTAAAATATAAAAGACGGGGTCACGCCGGGTAAGTAGATACGAACCGTGTCAAGCCTTATAATTGCATTCGCTCGTGAAGCCGCAAAAAAAAAAAGTCAATACCCAAAACTTCCCATTGGGAACACTCTAAAAGCTTTTACAGCTCACCTGTTTACTGCTAACAGTGATTGATGGCCCTAGAATGATTGCTCTCACTCCGACGTTCGCGGCGATATGTAACGTGTGTAGCGCAATTGTCATTTACTCACATAGGCGCACCAATGCATGTGTATGTGGGGGGGCGGGGGACTTAAATTTATTTATTAATTTTTTTTTTTTTTTTTTTTACACTAACCCTATTGCTATCACATAGGGAGCTAACAAGCACCCTATGTAATAGCAGATAGGGTGTGACAGGTCCTCTTTATGGAGACATCAGTCCCCTAATGCCACCTAGGGACCCCAAAGAAACTGAGGAAGCCGAGATCTGCTTCCCCAGCTTCATATCCTGGCTCTAGGAGCCGGAGACTGTAACTGGTGACACCGGAAGTGATGTAATAGACATCATTTCCGGGTCCAGTGATCGGAGGAGAGATCAGCGGCTGGAAGCTGCTGACTCCGATCGTTGTGAAGAGATCCGCCGAGCCGCACTGTGACATCGGTGCCCGGGAAGCCAACGTGGGAGGGGGGCGCCGCCGCACGGTCCAAACGGTCCTGCGCCTGTACAGACGCTGGATCACTTGCACAGTAACAACAATCGTCTGCTGTTAAAAACGCTGAAGCCATGTTCTTGTGTTAACCACTTCTGTGGCCCGGAAGTGGTTAATCCAAAGTTAAAGTGATCCCATCACCAAGATAGTCATGTCCCTGTAAAGAAGAAAGTGAACACCCGTGCCACCAAACATCGCTCTGTCCACGCGAAATCCCTGGATGCAGTCTTCAAAAACTGACATTTCCAGGCTTGATGATCCACTGCCTATCACCTGTGTCAGCTCATTGCTGTGTCACCGTCGCTCCCTCCTCACTTCCTGTCCTGGTGAGCACTGTCCGTTGGACAGGAAGTGGAAGGACCCAGTCTGACAAAGATTAAACAATTCCCCAACTCTATCCAAAATTTAAAAAAAGAAAGGATAAGTCCCCGTTCTCACTACGCGATGTGGGAATGCGTGGAAGATGTAAACAAAGCTAGCAGGGTCTTGTCCCGTATTAAGAAGGGGATGTATTGCAGGGACAAGTCTATAATTTTGCCACTTTATAGATCATTGGTTCGACCTCATCTGGAGTACACGGTCCAGTTCTGGTCACCAGTACTAAGAAAAGATGTCCTTGAGTTGGAAAAAGTCCAGCGGAGGGCAACCAATCTAATTAGGGGTATGGAGGACCAGAGCTACGAGACGAGGCTACTAAATTTAAACATGTTCACATTGGAGGTGAGGAGATTAAGGGGGGATATGATCTCCATGTACAAAATGTTCAATGGTGGCAGCAACATTAGCGATACACTGTTTAAAATTAACTCCATTACAAAAACTAGAGGCCATCACCTAAAATTGGTGGAAAAAAAATTCCAGCACAAGGGGCGAAGGGGGTTCTTCACAGTAAGATCAGTTAGGGTCTGGAACTCACTGCCACAGGCAGTGATTTCAGCAAATAATGTGGATTTCTTAAGGGACCGTAATATACAGGGGTACAGGTAATATACAGGGGTACAGGTACTCCTAGAATGAGATCCTATAGGTTGGACTTGATGGACTAATGTCTTTATTCAACCTCAAATACTATGTAACTATGTAACGCACATTCGTGTGTTTTTTTTTGCTGTGCGTCACCCATCGATTTCAGTGGGTGCTGCACACGCGACGAAACAAAGTAGCTCAGGCAGCATTTACAGCTGCGAGCGCCCCATGTTTTTTTTGTTTTTGTTTTCTGCGGGTCTGTTCGCATTGACAAGCATCCATGTGCGGGGGGAAAAAACGTGCATTTTACCAGCCGCTTTTGGGGTGCCATTAACAAGTAATGGCTCCACAAGTGTGATGCACGTTTTGAGTGCGTTGCCTCAACGCGCTTTAAAGTGCACGTTCATGCAACCCGAAGGTGTGAAAGTGGACGAAAATTCAGCCTGACTGTAATTCCCCCTGCACTAGCGTCCCTAGATGGCGCTGATTAGTAATTCCTACACTCGTCAGCGCCATCTAATGGTACTGGATCAGGCGGAACTATTATAAATGAACCCCTTAAAGAACAAAAAATGCCGTCTTTGTACGTATCTAGAGACTGGGGATTGTCCAGGCATTCTGGTTCTTCAGTCACCGAAATTTCAGGTTTATACAGGTCCTCTTTGGTACATGTAATCACTTGGTCCTTTGTTACAGGTTTATACAGGTCCTCTTTGCTGCATGTAATCACTTGGTCCTTTGTTACAGGTTTATAAAGGTCCTCTTTGCTCCATGTAATCACTTGGTCCTTTGTTACAGGTTTATACAGGTCCTCTTTGCTGCATGCAATCTCTTGGTCCTTTGTTACAGGTTTATACAGGTCCTCTTTGCTCCATGTAATCACTTGGTCCTTTGTTACAGGTTTATAAAGGTCCTCTTTGCTCCATGTAATCACTTGGTCCTTTGTTACAGGTTTATACAGGTCCTCTTTGCTGCATGCAATCACTTGGTCCTTTGTTACAGGTTTATACAGGTCCTCTTTGCTCCATGTAATCACTTGGTCCTTTGTTACAGGTTTATACAGGTCCTCTTTGCTGCATGCAATCTCTTGATCCTTTGTTGCTTTACATATTGCAGACGGTTTTACTTTTGACCTGGCCGGTTACATGGCGAGCCCAGGATTAGGAGAGGGGGGAGGAGGGGGGGTGTTTGAGGAAATGCGCTTGTTTTTATGTACACGGGTCA